TGTTGATTACATCAGAAGGTAAACGTCATCTTTCTCAACCAAGTATAATACAATATCTGCACAACATCTCATCTTTCTCAGGCAAGTTCAACTTCTTTGTACCAGAAATAACATGTCGTCTTTCTTAGATAATTACAACATTTTTACGGTAGAAGATAAATAACACATTATCTTTCCCAGATAAGTACAACTTCTTCCCACCACGAATGGCACGTTATCTCTTTGAGGAAAGTACAAAGTTTTGCAGAAAAAACAAAACAAAACATAGATAGAGAAATAAACCGATATGTGGCGCCATCTAGAAATTTTCATAAAAGTGATTCGAAAAACTGGACTAACTCGGTAACCCGTGACCCGATTCTAACGAAACTTGTTTTATTCTGTTTCTATTCTCAGTTCATTACAAGTATTGCGATATTATGCGCCATTTTTGCTGTATTTAATTACAGACAAGCCCACAGACAAACAATTTCAGAGTTTTAATAGTATATATAGATGGTAATCGTTTATGCTGGAAATTGTTCATGTATGTGTGTTGAAACTGTTAGGATATTACTGATATTCTTTAGTGAATGTTTCTAGCATGTGGCACATGATATTGTATCCCGTTTTTATTGGTACGTGTCTGACATTTGTTGGTTTGATTGACTAATTGTTGTTATTTGACTTGTAAATCTTAATGCATGTTTTTCTTGTCTTGTCTTGTTTTACTTCAACTGGTCAATTTTAGCATATGTTGGTATGCATTTGATAATACTTGCTTTGTATGATGAAAAGCTTTTTGTAGCTTTTTAGAACAGGAATATAAAGAACTGAGAGTATGTTGAATAATCTTACAAAAGTGTCAAACTGAAAATTCTTTCAGTGAAGAAATCAATAACCACAAGAAAAGTTTGGACGAAAATTATGTCCGCGATTACATTGACTCATTTTTGGTTGAAATGAGGGACCGGCAAAAAACAAGGCTGTACAGGACTAAATGAAAAATGATTGTCTGAAAAATTGATATATTTAACATCTGTACATTTAATCTGTGTGTATGTGTGCTCTACTAATGTTATATTTAGTATTTACTAGACAACCCACTATTCAGAGGTTATGAAGAATTCAAGCTAATTTCAATCTTGCACCAAAATGAAGGTTTATTTTGAGATAATTTAATTAAATATTTCCATCCATTCGTGTTATTCATAATTCAAGAAAAGATAATTGATTGTTGATCGGGAGTAAAAGGAAAGACCATTTCATTTTTCAAAAAAGTGAAGTCAGAGTTTTCTGGTATTGAGATGAATTAGTTCATTATGTTGTGGTCTTTCCTCTTAAACCTTCCACAAATAAGAAACAGTAACACTTTATTTTTTCTTCGAATTACCTACCATAACCAAGGCACATTATTGAGAAATTCTTCAAGATCTTGTTTTGTCATCTTACGCCTTTTAATGAAGATGGGAACATTGACAGGGAAATAGATATGAACGAAGAAGTTTCATAAAGAGCGCGAACGGTAGTGTGATGTAAAATTACTCATGCTAGAAATTTTCATAAACGTGAACCGAAAAACGGCGCTAACTCGGTAACCCGTGGCCCGATGAAGTTTCGTAAATAGCGCGAGCGGTAGTGTGAATGATTTTTTGACTGAGAAAATAAGCAAACAAACAATCTCATAGTTTTAGTAGTATAAAGATAGATAAATTTTTCAAGATCTTGTTTTTGTCATCTTACGCCTTTTAATGAAGATGGGAACATTGACAGGGAAATAATATAATAGCCAATGCTCGGCGATAGGTTTTCGTTTATAATATTTTGTTGTTGTTCTCGACTTGATTTTTCTTTTATTACCTCGTCTCCATAGTTACTATTTGCAAATAGTCAATAATATTGTTGGCCCATTTTATTGTTGTTCCTTCTACGTGCCGTTATAACACATTTTCATTTGATCATTTAATTTCTATTTGTGCATATATTGTTGTATAGAAGATATTTTAAAGTGATTCATCAGGTGGAAAACGAAATATCACTCATTTAGCCTTTCTCAGAGGACTTTATATATATATATATATCACTCATTTAGCCTTTTCTCAGAGAACTTTATATATATATCACTCATTTAGCCTTTACTCTGAGAACTTTATATATATATCACTCATTTAGCCTTTTCTCTTGTCAATAGCTGAAAATATAAATCTTATTTATTAATTAATAATTGTATTTAGTTTAAAGGACAAAACAGCCGAGATGAGCCAATAGAACCAAGTTGTCCCAAAACTTTTTGTTATATAATGTTAATGTGCACCAGTGAACCTAGCATGACCTGCTGGTTAATGCGCCCGTAACGAAATCTTCGGTTCGCGTGTTCCAATACCCTTATCAAACGTACTTACCCTATCAGTCATATAGGACTTATAATGTGACGATCAATACCCCTGTTGGATTACAACAGTCCATAAGGTGGTTGTGGGTTATGTTGAACAACTGTCAGCCCTCTAAACTATAGATGGCTATCGCAAACATCTCTTGATTTGTTTGTTCGAAGTTCAACAAGAAAACAGTTAACTCTGCATTCTGTCCTCGATAGATGTGTAGTTGTATCTGTACTTTTACACTACATAGTTTACAGAATAAACATTCAATCATAAGATGATATTTCAACACATATAATATAAATAAGCTTTTTTCTCCTGAAACATCTACATAAAATCTCACAGACTGTACTTTACTGTTCCCATAAAATATTCGACCTTGCTGTTCATACCCTGTTACTATGCAGATTAAATTACCAGAAATAGATGGTTAACATTAGTCAACAAATTTTATTTTTTCTCAAACAAGTACAAAAAGGAGATGATGTAAGTTTTCTGTTTCAAACCAATAATCTGTATCTAAGATGAGAACAGACGTCTTAACAGAAACTTGGCTGAACCATACTTTTGCTACAACACTTCTTTCAGCTGCTTGTATTTTCTTGTTCCTTCGTTGGTTCTTAACACGACCCAGGAACTTTCCACCAGGTCCTTTCGGTCTTCCCATCGTCGGATATCTTCCTTTCCTTAGCAAAAAACCTTTTCTGGATTTTATAGATCTCAGTAAGAAATATGGCAACGTGTTCAGGTATTAGTGTGTTATAAACTGTGAATCTTAAAACATCGTAATAATATTAATAGTTTAATTATTACGATTTTATTTGATTGAGGGTATTAATTATCTAAAAAGTCTTGATTAGCACAATGTTCATTAGGATTAATTATAATAAAAGCTACATGGAATAAACAAAAGATTAACCCGAAAAATGTTATGTGTTAAAAACTTTGTGATTTGAACCTTTTATTTATTCATTTCATGTTTTATCCGCACTTAGTTTACCTGATATAAGATTCTTGGGCCTACTTCTGGTGAATCAGTTTTTACCATACGTAGTCTATGAATGAAATAATTTAAACTCGTTAATTAATCATACTTTTTGTATGGTAAACTAAAACATATAGTGTTACGAAGTTCCACAAAAACACAACTTTAATTGTCTTAAATACAGATATAGTTAATATTAAAATATATTTTCTTTTCCAAACTTTCAATAAAAATATAAGAGAAACCAGTTGTAACGAGTATTATCTCTAGACTTATGGTTAGTACATTACTTAGAATTTTATTTTAATCATATTGTGATTGAAAATTTCTGACCACAGATAAAATAATAACAAGAAACAATCAAAATTTGCACCATGCACATTTGCACGTATGTATTTGAAACGCATTCTTCAACACTTGTTCGATCCACCAAGTTTGTACGTGTGTATTTGAAACGCATTCCTCAATATTTGTTCGATCCACCAAGTTAGCACGTGTGTATTTGAAACGCATTCCTCAACACTTGTTCGATCCACCAAGTTTGCACGTGTGTATTTGAAACGCATTCCTCAACACTTGTTCGATCCACCAAGTTTGCACGTGTGTATTTGAAACGCATTCCTCAATACTTGTTCGATCCACCGAGTTTGCACGTGTGTATTTGAAACGCATTCCTCAATACTTGTTCGATCCACCAAGTTTACAGAATTTGCTTCATAACAGCAATTTTCTGTGTTGCTGGTAAAATTCATTTCTGATATAGTAATGCTGTAATTAATACCAAGGGAATAATAGAAACACAATCTGTGAAGTTAACAGAAGTATAAGGTGTATATAACAGGTTAAAGGGTATTCAATAAAATACATAGGTATACACTTTTTATTGCCTTATAAGTTAAACTATAAAATTCGATCACTTAGATATCTTAGCCTATAATTGGTAGTTTACTACCTCGATGTTTGTATGAAATCAATTAAAATCGTACAAGTCTTACATTCTTTGTTAATGTTTTTTCACAGCTGAATTCATTGTCCGAATAAAGTTTCTACTTCCGATTTTAGCCTCCGTGTGGGAAGTCAAAACGTCGTCGTTCTCTGTGATTTTCTGGCTGTCAAGGAAGCTATGAACAAAGATGCTTTTCTAGACCATCCACCAGATATTCAGATTCAAGGACTGTCAGAAAATATAAGTAAGTGGTATGGGTTTAAGATTACATTTAAAACCGTGAGAAACTTTATGAAATAAAGTATTTGAACATTTAAAAATATGATACAGCTTATATTTGTTTTAACACCAAGCTTAAAGTCCTTTATCTAATTAAGATACAACATGCTAGTTATGAGTTTATTCTTTGCGCAGATCTGTAAAGCTATTGAAAAATATAATTTTACAGAAAGTTTTGGTGTTATGTAATTCTTTATCTCATTGAAACTGTTATAATAACTAAGATAAAGTCAATTATCACGTTTTCTGAGGTCACATCGAGTTTAATGGTACGGAGAACTTTTACAATAGCATTAAAAGGCTAATACAATATTTAATTATACAAATTAACAGACGTTTATGTGTTGTGTGATAGTTTATTCCAATATCTTTCCAGGTTTTGCATCAGTAAATGGAAATTTGTGGAAAGAACAACGACGATTTTCGGTTCATATTTTACGTAATCTTGGTTATGGTAAAACAAAAATGGAAGACCACATCAAAGTTAGTAATTTTGTTAAAACATGTAAAATTATTGGAGAAAATTAATATTTTCAAACTTAGGTTAAAAATATATGAAACGCATGCCCTTTTCACTTAAACTTTAAAAGTAAATTATAGAGCTAATGTTTATGATAACGGAATAAAAATATATTGTTTCCACATCTGAACATTGAAAGTTCGATAATTAGAACTACGAACTACAGTAAGAAAACAGATCCATTTGAAATGTTTTGATCATAACCATAAATATGTCTGTGTCCCAATAACTTAACGGTGGACACAGCACAGATAATACATTATGCAGATTTGTGCTTAGTAACAAACGTACGAGTCTAATAGTAGTTTCAAGTTTCATGTGAAGTTTTAAAAACATGTACACCAGGATTACATATTCGAGTCAGTTTTCCAATGTATTCAGTACTTCAAAGACAACGATTGTTGTTGTTGTTTTAACCCATGTTAACTTTCGTACACCACCGTATGTATATTTACTCATCAGTCTTTCCCATGTCTTAGTATTGTAGCCTATTAGAATACAGGAACTAAAGAAAATAATATCAGTATATGTTGTGCTATAAATCGTTAGTCTGCAAACATTAATTTTCTAAATTCACAGTATTATGAACAACAGAATTTCATATCTAAACTTCGTTCTTGACTAAATCTATTCATGAAATCTACCTTTAATACTCCTTGATGTATAGGAAGAAATCAGCATTATTTTAGCTCATCTGGCATCTCTGGATGGAACTGTTTGTGATGTTCGAGAAGTCCTAGTTCCAAGCATGTCTAACATCATTTCTGCATTTGTTTTTGGACGGAGATTCGACTATAACGACCCAAAAAGAAAATATCTAGATGAAAGACTCAACGAATTTGTAGAGTACATCCAATGGTTTAACGTGAAAACCTTCTTTCCCTGGATGAAACCATTTCTGTCCATTTTAAAATCTGGACAATTTAGAAAATTTGAAGAAGCGACAAAAAAATTGTTGACATTCATTCGGTAAGTAACTTTTGAATTCAAATTAAATATTCGTTGTTAGAAATATGCTCTGTATCATGTGTAATAGAATAATATGTTAAAGTACGTTGTCATTTATTGGACGCATACTAGAACTTTACTATACTTGAGAAGTCCTTATATTTCATTATTAAAGAACGATTTTATTACCGTGGTTGTATTAATCCATCAGGTGCAAGTTTTTATCCATTATTTTAATATATAAAGTTCTCCGAGAAAAGGCTAAATGAGTGATATATATAAAGT